GGTGGGCCCCCGCGCCGCAGGCGAACTGGGAGCCTTGCCTGAGAGAGGACTGCCGCCCGGGGAGCGTGTTTCTCTGCCGCTGAGGGCGGCCCCCGGCCCCGCTCCGGCTCCCGCCTCTGCCCCCTATCTCCACGCGGGCAGCACACGCGTGGGCACGTCTGGCTGCGTCCGCAGTGCACACACGGGTGAATGCCAAGGGAAAAAGCGTGAGTTGGGGGGGACGTTTTCTTCCGTAGCCGCAGCCCATCTGTCCCGTTTCTTTTGGGGTGTAGGACCTGCGCTGAGCCCGCATCTACCTTCTGGGGCCCCGATTCCGCTTCCACGGAATGGAGCACCAGAGGATCCCACAGCGAAACCCAGAGAGCCCAGAGAAAGCAGCAAGCGTCCAGGAATGCGAACTTGGATTTACACCTGGATTTACACCTCCGGCCGCCTTTAAGGGAGTGCAGTTTTATCGGTGGTGGCTGGGAGCATCACCGGCGACCCGGTCGCTTCAGCAAGCCAGGACCCAGCTCAGCTCAGACCTGCGTTTTCTCCCGCCAGCGGTCTGGCGCCCTGGTACTCGGGTCTGAGTCCCAGCCAGCCAAAAAGCATCCCTCCGGGAAAGTAGTCTAGCTATCCATCCGCAAGCAGGGATATAAATACCCGGAGATATTTTAAAGATCTCTGTGGGAAGCGATTGTGTCTAAGTAGTAGCGCTCGGAGCTTATTATCGCTGGAACCGATTTGTATTGCAGGGACTTGGTCCTGCCAGAAAACTCCTAAAAAATCCTGCGCTGAAGAGGGCTGTAAATTCCTGTGCTGCAATATTTCATTGAAGGACGTCATGGAAAATGTGGGCTTGGGGGGGGGCAGTCTCGGGACAGGCAGAAGGGGGGAAAGAGAGAGACAAAGGGGGAAAAAATGTGTAAGATTCTTAGTTTTTTTCCTTTCTGGCCAAAGCCTGAACTTCTGCCTAACACACGGCAGCTGATAGACAGCATGAGCCTCCGCAGCCGGGTTAGACCCTTCTGCTGCTCTGCTCTGCACCGCTCCCAATTTCGAGTTGTCCTTTCCCAAAAAGTCTTCCTGGTCCCACTCCGTTCTTGAGCCCAGGGTCTGCCAACCCTGAGCTCTCGGGCAGCGAGCTGTTAGAGCCGGCTCTATCTGTGCTACGGAGCCGCCCACCACACGCACACGCGTGGGGTATAATAGTGCTCTGCGCTGGAGCCCTCTATCCCCGCACGGCTGGCTGAAGGGGGGCAATCTTGCACTCAGACGATGTATCCGGGAGTAGCAGTAAGGCAGCGGAGATCCGCTCAAGGGGAGCACTTTGCTCAAATCTTAGGGAATTTTTATTTTTATTTATTTGTTTATTTTTTTTTAGGGATCTGGCCCCAGCTCCACCATGCTGCAGTACCTGTACGGGGCCAAGAAACCTGTCTCGTTTGCCTGTTTGCATCTGCGCAAACCCAGCGCTAATACCCCGTTAGCAGACGATCCCCCGCGGCTCCCGGTCTCCGCGGCGGCGGCACCCCCGGCGCCTTGGGCCGCTCC